CCTCTGAAAAAACTTAGGGGGATCTCACCCCTCCCCCGCGCCCCCCCCCCACCAAAGCGAGAGTTAGTGCCTAGTGACGTCAGCATAAGCGTTGTTTACCACTATGACGTTGTTGAGCCCGTATCTTTTGGTATATTGAGGTTCGTTCACTCAGCGTACACACTTTGAACTCATAATAATGGCGAAAAATCAGGAACTGAAGGCCTGTCTCTCTTATATCAAGTTTGTACGTAAACGCGACGAATAAGAGTGTAACGCAAGTCTCAAAGATCAAAATAGTAACGCAAGTCTCAAAAATCCCTTGGGCCCCAACCAATTCATGTTCTTTGCTGTATGACAGATATGCCTGAGGAACATGCTCTTTGTTTGCTTTGCCGGTTTAATACCAACACAAGCGCATCTGGAAGAAAAGTACGATTCAGCACTAGTTCACATTGGCGAGTGTTGTAGCCTGGCAAGCATCCTTAGTGGAGACTGTCCTCTGTCGTGGTGCGGGCTCCATTTCGGTTTAATTGACCCTGACTGGACGCGTGCCGGACTGCGTAGCGGCAGCCGGTGACCCCGACCGAGGAGTCACGAGCTGGCCCGCAACACCCATGACTTGTCGAAAACACGCGCCGCAACAGGCACAGACGGCGGGCAACACCGCAGTGTGTGAGGCCAAGCGGAGCAAAAGGAATGCATCTTGACCTCGAGCGTGACCCAAGCCTTTGGCGGCGTGTGTCACCACTGTGCTCTGCACGGGGGACAACCCCTGCGACCTTGGGTCCGCCCCGGCCAGGCCGCGCTGGCGGGAGTGGCTCAATGTTTGGCGGGTAGGGAGGTGACATGTCCACAAGGTGTCGGGCGTCTACCGGCCGCAGCGTGCCCGTGGGGCGTGTTCGTGTACGACGCGGGTCCCCCTCGTCTAGCGGAAGTCGGACAGATCATACAGGTTTGACAGTGCTGGTGAAGCTCTGACAGTGCTGGTGGAGATGTGACGGTGCTGGCAAGGGTCTTACACGTCTGGCGGGTCTGCGCGGCTACCCGCCGACCGACGCCTCCCGGTGGCTAGATCAGGAACTGTCGCGGAATGGCGTGCAGTGGCCAGGATCGGACAGCGTCGCAGCAAGGTCAGAGTAGTGTCGGCGCAGTGTCGGAGCAGGGTCGAAGTAGTGTCGGGGTAGTGTCAGAGAAGAGTCGGAGCATTGTCGGAGCATTGTCGGAGTATTATCGGAAAAGGATCGGGGTATGTTCGGACAGTAGCGGGGACAGCACCAGCTGCGGGGGTGGGTGAGGGGCAGCTGTCATCGTGTCACTTCTGCTCCCCCCCCCCCCCACCCCCTCCTCAGCCTCTTCGCAACCAATAGATCGTTGCATGCTGGGTTCAGATCCCGCGATGGACAGAAGCTTGATCACTTGGGTACTCCATAGCACTCCCTTGTTCCAGATTTGAATGAAATGTCGAATGGTTCAGGACGGCGAGAGCTCTTTAGACAGGACATACATGCAGCCTTAGCCTAGTTACAATGGTAACAACAATCTAAGTTAAGGCAAACGCCAACGGCCGGGGTAGGGGTATGTACGAAAGCGGATTAAAAATATTTAAGAATTTTGTTTTTGTTTCGCTCTTTTAAAAATCCATAACATTCCAAACAGTGTGTTTTCACACAACATGAACAAACCAAGAGACGGGAAAGGCTTCAGACTTTGGCCAACATGTCAGTATGCCAGTATGTTTTCCACATTCATTTTCTAAAAAATCCTCCGCGCAACCACACACGCACAGGACATTTCACCCTTGATACAAGGGGTGTGTGGTGCTGTTCAGCACTCCTAATATGATGAGGGGTGTAAAAGAACAGCACCATGGCAGATTTATGGGTATAAATCATAACAGCAACTTATTTCTTTGTCACTTACCTAACTGTGAGCAGGACCACTTGCAAAACTCATCGCCCGGTTCAAACGGGGGGGGGGGGGGGGGCAGGAGTTTGTCATTCCGTTTAGGGTGTGTTTCCAGGATTTTTAACAGATTCATGATTTTTTTCATCCCATCATCGATTAGTCTCGAGGAGTTTAATCCGAAAGGCATCGTTCATGACAGAGTTTGTAACATCCGCATGCTACTGCACCACCAGCTACCGAAAGGTTCGTCAGGGATTTTGGTACCTCGCTAGAACCGCTTTTGCCGTGCTACTCCTGGTATGCTGCGGTGAATACATCCATGGTGCAGGTGTTTCACTTCCCGGAAACAGGAAAAACTCTTGTAAAACCGAGGCAGCGCGAATTATCTCGCGTCGATCTCCATCTTAACATTATCGCCAAATTTCACTGGAGGTTTTTCCCTGAGCCAGGTCCTCGAGCTTCCCCTCTGCGTACCACATACCCGAAATTAGAACATACTATGTACCTATTTATTTTTAGGAAAATCTGAGAGTTTTAACAAACTCCTTCAAACCGTTTATGAGAAAGAAGGGAAAAACTAAGAGGGGCTGAATATACCCCTCCATGAAATTATCCTGAACGAAATCGAATTAAAACTCTCGAATTGTTATTATTCATAAGTAATGAGAAGTGCCTACAGTAATATTAACACTGTAATGGACTCTCCGATGGTTGTAGGCTACAATATATGCTTTGTTCCTTTTTTCCCTGGCACCGCCTTTCTCGTGGCATTATATTTCAACATCATGAGTGACATTAAACGTTACTGGACATTCCGTTTCTCACATCGGCGGCGACCTATGCAGGTACGAAATGAAAGAAGAGCGTGTGTGAATGAACGCATGGAAGCATCGAAGCGTTGAAGGAAGTGCTCTTCATTTGGCCGGGGTTTGAAATGGGATAGTCATTTTAAACATCATTCAGCGCAGTTCACAGCCCTGTCCTCTAAAGACTCAAAAACCACTGGTTTCAGAGCTGGACGCCTGCCAAATTGTGTATACTTTTTCTTGAAGGCTATTTTAATGTCACCTAGACACGTATGACGTTATAAGAACGTCACACCGACACTGGCCACATAGAGCTCAACACCATGCATAATACCATCACCAAGCCAAGGCTTTAATAGTAGAAGGCTACGCAGACGTGACGTCACCATGGGACTAATGTTTGGTAGCTCGCGGTACGGTTCTTGGTTGATGCTACGAAAATGTTTGTAGATACTAGTGCTATAATTAAACACGGATATTTCGCCAACGATTTGTGTGGAAATCCTGTTTTGCATCTTTATTTCAATATTACATAAATATATATCGCACATTTTGCATTTCAAACCTTCTAAAGACAAACCAACACTAGGATCAGGCTCCGAAAATAGACCCTACTAAACCCTGTTTTCTAGCTTCAGTACCCGCACCATATTCGCCGTGGATAGCGCGCCTAAATATTTAGAAGCAATGCCTTTTGGTAAAGTGAATACCTATGTGTAAATAAATCACTATACCATGTAATGTTTGCATTACATTTGTAACTGAGTGACGGTTGCCCATTTATCTTCGTATTGCAGGACATATACTGAGTGGAATGTGAAAATAACGCAATATCAGGACAGGTGCCAAGAATTTCGCTGTTGCTATGCTTTGATCCTCCTAGGCGTTGGTTAACTTGCAGGTCCATAATGTTTGATGGGCTAGGTGAAAAGGGGCGCAGGAAATATTGCCCTGTGTACCCTAATACATTCCCAAAAATGTTTACGAACTGAGATATGGGCCATGAGTCTTTGACTGGCAGAAGTCGCTAAACTTGCCAGAAATTGTCATATTTCACAGGAAAAGCTGCTATCTGAAACTGAAATGACGCGCGCTGCATTTATGCCTGCCGGGGTTCACCACTCACGACCCCCATTAGGGCAGCCAACCTTGCATCCACCCCGACAGCACCCCTCCTTAGGCTTCAGGATGTGCATTCCAACTTCTCAATGTGCGCCCCAGGATGCTGCGAGCTCGTCTGGCCCGTCGTTTCTCACACTTACCCTCTGTTTTTGCTGTATGCTGTACTCTTTTACACAGACTGTTTCTAAGCACGTCCGGTTAGAGTTCTTTGGAATAAATCACTGGTGAATGGGTTATCCCATCTCTCTGTCGCAGGCAGGTGGGAAACGCATTTCGCAATGATTTTGTAGCTCTGGTGCAAACCAACGCCATTTCCCAGCTGAAAATACTTCATTAAATGTGCTAGGTCGAAAAAGTCAGGTTCATGGAAATATTTATGTTTAAACCAGTCCGCAAGGAAAGGCGTTTTCACGCCCTTGTAGCGTTGGTGCCTTTTGATTTAGTTCCGTGTTGACATCACATCGTCGCTTGCTCAGAATGCAGTAATCCGGGATCTTGCACCAAATAACTCGTGTTTGGGGTACGTGAGAAAGAGTTATGCCATCAGTGGACTTCAGTTGGCCCTCCACCATTGTGATGAATTGCATGCAACATTTTAGGTGCCATATAATGTAGGAATTAATGTAGGGCAGTTGTACGAGGTATGATGGAAATAAGGCTGGACATCGAATAACTTCAAATGAGGGCTATAACTAAGTACGCGAATGCAAGTAAACCATACCATACCACGGATAAATATCCAAAAACACCACTAGAAAGGACTGAAACACGAGTGCGTGACGACACACAAGCCATCTCTCGGCAGTTGGAAGTACTTTAAGTGAGTCAGCTCGTCCGGTACAATGTCAGTTCTGACATGGCCAGTCTGGCAGCGGCTGACGTTATAGAATCATTCCATTGGGCAAGCAAACGATGACTTATTGAGGAGTATAGTTATTAAATTGCGAATTTTTGTGGTCTAGAGTGGTCTTTCACAACTAAAAGCAGAACAATAGTTACAGGTGACCTTATTTCGGCATAGCCGATCGTCATTTTGTTTAAACGACGTCCAGTCATTGGCAAACCTGAATGGAGTCCCTGCCCGAATTGGTTATTTCTTCAGGAATGTGGTGGTCTAAAATACAGCAGACTGATTTGAATCATGGTATCCTGGCAAAATATTGATTACTCCTCTTTCTGTTCCAGACTGCCACTCCGTGTCCGCGGTGTCAAGCGCGCGGACCGCATGTGCTGATGGTGCTCCGCCGCCGCCCAACCGAATCAACACCACCGAACGGTTGGTCCAGCGGGCCATGCGCCGTCCAAGGCTGACACCTGTGCTCGCCCGCACATCGCAAACAAACCAGCTGCGGCGGGATATGACATCACCTGCACAGCACCGCAGGCAGTTCAGATTGTTTGTCGTCGGCTGTAGGGAAGACGGCGCACAGCACCGCTGTCCGTGGTTGTCTGATGAGACTCCGCGCAGGAGAAGAGGGAGGGGCCCGGAGCGACGCCAGATGGCTGCCAGAGCCCCCTTCCCTGCAGGGGGGGGGATGGAGGGGGGGGGGGGGTCACTGGCCGTTGCTCATCGCGGTCCAGCCCGCTGACGTATCGCTCCGGTCGTCAGCCTGATCTCCCACGTCCGGTTTCTTGCCAAGATCTGTTACGTCGTGGAAAGGTTGCGTTGGTTTCTTGTAAGCTTGCAGAGTTGTTTCTAGACTTTTGCTTGTCTTTACGTGAGGTCGGAGATTTACGATTCTGATATCGTCCTAGCTTTCGGTGAGTCCGGGTGAAATCAGCCTAGCTTTCGGTAAGTCTGAATGGAATCGGCGTACATCACTTTGAATTTTATTGTCAGTCGAAGTGGGAAGTCGAGCCAATAAAGTCTTAAGTTAAGTTGACCCAAACAGAAATGGAAGCAGAAGGATATGTGCAGAGTCTGACAGCTTACATGTGCACCAGATCGGACATCAGCGTGTTTAATTACATGAGTTTAAAACAAGCCCCTTATTGGGGGCTTTATGAATGTCACAGAGCAGTTAATCCCCCAAAACTTTCGTTGCTGGAACTGACAGCATGGTAATCGATTCTGCATACAGCCATCTTCCCTAGAGTCGAATTCGAAGTCGACTCAAACAGTCGCTGAACTACTCGAGCAAGAGTCTGGATCGACCGCATTCTTTGCGAGTTAAGGTCGAATTATTGCGCTGAAATGCCATCAGCACAGGTGTGGGTACTTCATGTCAAACAGCTACCTGTTTCGGCACTCTGCGCGAATTCCAGGGTATCGTTAAATACTTTGGTCCGTTGCTATACAGTTACTTAGTCTACGTTTGTTATATATTAACCAGTTTCGGTGTTTTAGAGTGTCGAAAACACTGCTTGAAAGTTAAGTTAACTTAGAGGCAAGAAGCATCGACCCGACCTACACGCACTGGGACAGTTAGCACGGGCATCTGATGGGGTGCAGTCCAGTCCGCCTGTGTACACAAACTCGCCCAAAATATGATATCGACCTTTCTCAATGTCATGTATGTTTCCATCAATCTTACGCACGATGTACGTGTGCTTGACGTGTGCCCCTCTGTCAGCCCTTCGTCTTCCCGGCGCTGGACCGGGTGTGTTTTGTGGCACGATTTGTGCTGCAGCGCACCGTACGCCCGCTGATAAGTCGTGTCATCCGTAGCCCAGCTGCGCTCGGTAGCCATCTGCGGCTACCCCTGTGTGTCCTGCACCGCAGCCTGCGGCAGCTGCGGGAGCTGATGGCCGACCCTCGCCACAAGCTGCAGGCCTACATCGTGCCCATGGACGACGAACACCAGACGGAGTACGTGTCGCCACATGACGCGCGCATCGAGTTCATCAGCGGCTTCAGCGGATCCTCAGGTCAGGCCGGGTCAGGGTCAGCCGGGCAGCATCACCATGCAGTCATTGTATAGGAATATGTTCAGACACTTGGTATAGCATATCAGTTAAAGTCTACGTAATTGGGCTCTGCCATCCCATTCTCGACTCGGCACTTTGGTTTACAACAGGTTGGAGTTGCGAAGAAAGTATCTTGGTTAGCGACTTGAGAGATGGTGAAGGCTCCATGTAAACCATTGTCATATGTTCCTAAAGTACATTGGAGGCTGATATCCGGTTCTTAAGTTTATTCTTTCCACGTGTTACCATACGATCAGTATTAAATTTCCGCAGTTAGGGGGCGCGCAAATGCCGCTGTTCTTAAGCTTGTGCCATGAAAATAAACGACACAAATAAACGAAATTCATGTATAATCTTCCTGATGTCTTGCAACGGCATGCGTTTTTTTCCTAACAAAGGGTTTCAATAGACTCAGCGTACCACTAACCAAAAATTATGATGGACGTCATACACTGCAGCAACCCTCCCCGCCGTGTGCTGCCACCTATACCCGCCGTGGGGAAGTAACGCAGCATCAGCGCTGATTGCGCTGTCCGCACGAGAGCTGGCGCCGATCGTCCCGAGCTATGCTTGAAGGGCATGTTCCACATTTGGAGGCATTAAAGCAAGGATTAGATATAATTAAAAGTCTCGCTTAACACGCGGTCGGGTGGGGGGAATCAAATTGCCCCCCCCCCCCCGAAGGTTTTTCCAGAATGGTTTCCGAACGGCGCGGCGTAGCCGCGCCAAATTTTGCATAGCTATTCACAATTGAATAGCGGATCGTTTGGTGCAAGACATTTGTATGTACCTTGCGAGGTCACTGACCTATGGCAGGTTAAAATCAGGCCATAGTTTCAGCAAAGTCTGATATAATATCTAGGGAATCGTTCTATCTGATGCAACAACGGAGTGTTTGACGAAGCTATACATCTTAGAGATGCTTTATTACGCAACACCAGCATTGAATGAGCAAATTAAGTTGACCTAAGGTCAGGTATGAAGGTCAGACCAAGGTCAAAACCAGCCTGTTTTGTTGTTCTAGGGCTTACTGTATGGGGTATTTCCCGGTGTTCATTTTGAATTTAATGATAGCAGGAACCGCATCATACACCCTCAGTTGACTTCTTGGAGGTCACAATAGGTCATTAACCTAAGATAATCCAGGTCAACATTTTTTAAAGAACATACTGCCGAGCGTAATATTTGTCCCGTATTCAAATGCCAAAACTCAGAGCAGTCTTCTATGATTTTGGTCACCATGACCTTCAAAAGGTCAAGCAAGGTCGCTGACCTCAAATGAGCTTGTGACCTTTTGTTTCGAAATAGTTATCTAGGTTCTGGGGGCACTTTGGAAACCAATCGGACATTTGACCTTGTTTGACCTTATTTGAGCCGGAGGTCATGACCTAGTGGACTCAAACTTTGAACTAAGTGAGTTCACGTATAGGTCAACACACTCTGAAAATTTGGTGTCTCCAGCCTTCTTAGTTCCTTAGATCTTAGGGGGGGGTCAAATTGACCCTCCCTTACCCGAGCGAAGGGTAACTAGCCGGCCACCCGGGCGCGTGTTAAAACTGTTGGTATACTTTGTAGTAGAAAAGACTCTTCCCGACGACAAAATTGTTTCATCTACTAAACATGCTCCTCAATACGTCATTGTTTGATTGGGCCATGAAACGTTCGTATGGCGTTGAGGTGCTTTCAAACTAGCTGCGTGAAATTGTCACTGCAGCACTCACTTGTAGTACTTAACTCGCCGAAAGGTGGCAGTGGCGGTGCTGGAAGTGTTTGCTGAGCCAAAAATAGTTATGTGCTCGTGCTGTGACTCTTTGTCGTGGTGTTCTTGCATACTTAATTGTGAGTTTTATATGTTTATTTGTATTCACATGCTCGGTTATGGCGCTCTACTTAAGTCATTCGAGTAAAAGTCTTGTTCCTGTAATAGCTAGTACCCATGTCCAGCTTGTTAAATAATGGAAGTCAAAACATGCTTGCTGCTTGGTTGGTGGAATAATAATTGAGAGTCGGGTGGCGTCCACTATTTTTGGAGGTCATGCGCACGGACGCCAGATTTGAACGGCTCGTCGATAACATTTTTCGTGGCCTTGAGCTCAGCGTGACGAATAGGGTGGCAGAATTCGAATGGCGTTACTATGGCGTTATGTATGCCTAAATGGCCCCACAAAAGTCTGTACGAAGTAATCTGCACATTTTTGCGACGTGCAAGTCAGAAATTGGAGTATTTTTCGTGTAAAGAAGCGTAGGGCTGTGAACTGCACCCAATGATGCTCAAAATGACTATTTCAGTGCAAAACCCCCTACAGATTTGTAACACTCTCATGTATGTTTGAAACCGTCATATTTAGCATGTCTGATCATTAGTTAACAAGTAGCACGGCACTCTGTTAGGATAATTGTGACCGGCGCTTAAAGGCGGGGCCTACCCACGTGCCGGCAGGCTTGGTCGTGGTGACTTCAGACAGCGCTGCACTTTGGACGGACGGCCGGTACTTCCTGCAAGCTGAGAGCCAAATGGACTGCAACTGGCAGCTAATGAGAAACGGCACAGAACCCAAGGTGACCGCCTGGATCGTGCTGGCACTACAATACTGGCCTGTACTGTAAAGTTAGTCGCTGTGCAGGCTGCAGTGGTCTAAGTGGGCGACTATTAAATCCGCGGGCTGGAATCTAGATTTTATGTTGTAATCGGAGGTTAGCTGTCATCTTGTCCAGGTCCTAACTTAATTTTGTTATGGACAGACACCTCATAGTGCTAGTGTCTGGAGGAGGCATGAGGGAAGTTGACTGATTTGAAACGTGAATAACGATTTATAACGTACGTTTTGGTTTATTCTTCGACGTCTATGCTTCCACTTTTCATTTCGCCACACAGACATGCTATTCATGTTTTTGCTGTAAAGATACGAGACATTCTACAAGCCCAGTACCAGTGCTTCCGTGCTGACAACTGCTGCGGTGTGAGCGCTCCGGCTTAGGGCTAGCAAGATCTGGTTCGTATCGGTGTTGACATCAGCTTTAAAATTACGTATTGCATGTCAAGCACTTCTTGACACCGCCCAGGTTCCGATACTGGCAACCCAGACACTGCGCTGGAGTCACCGGCCCCGATCCAATACTGGCTACCGGCACTGGGGTATCGAAAAATCGCGTTTCTTTATCGTGGCTCCTGCGGTGATGTACTGCCGTTTGGCGAGTGCAGCGGTGCCGGTTTCTATGTGACCAGCGGCGGGTCTGGCCGACAGCCGCCCTCGGAGGTGGAGTGGCTGGTCTCGCAGCTGGAGCGGGGCAGCTCGGTCGGCGGCGACCCCCGGCTCATCGCAGCCCAGAACTGGCTCCACTTCGAAGCCCGGCTAAGAGGTGAGGCGCCTGGCCACACACGGCCACCACAGCACCGGGCCACACACGGCCACCACAGCACCGGGTCACACACGGCCACCACATCAGCTGGCCACATACGGCCACCACAGCAGTGGACCACACACGGCCACCACAGCACCGGGCCACACGCGGCCACCACAGCAGCGAGCCACACACGGCCACCACAGCAGTGAACCACACACAGCCACCACATCAGCTGGCCACATACGGCCACCACAGCACCTGTGGATGGCACCTAACCAAATACAAAATCATTGTTGGCCTAAACGTCTCGGAAGCTGCAGTGTCTCCAAATGCGTGCGGCGCTTCGTTTTGACAGATTTTCCGGAAAAAGTGCTGCAGAACGTTGAAATTGTTCGGCTATAACACGAGTGCTAGACCGTTATAGGGTTGGATTGTGCCATGTAGTGGCATTAGTATGGTATCATCGTCTTGGGGCAGAACGTTACGGCACAGTCATTTGAACAGAAAGAAATACAGGTGGAATTACTTCTGCTGTACTTCATGTTGTGGGGCTAGAAGAGGGCGTTTTTGAATCAGCCGTTTGCTCTCGTTCGAGGGAGACTATTTATGTCAAACCTTTTGGAAAGGTGCGATCTTTTCCGCTAGCTATGCGCTGTGAGGTTGAACTAACTTTGCTACTGGACGTCAAACCGTAGTGTCATTATCACATGGCCAAGTACCTCTCATCTTTTAATTAAATCATCGTGACCTACATACTAGAACTCATAAGCCCACCACAGATCTTTGGAAGCACGTGTGTTTAAAGCGCCGACAAGGCAACAAACAAGCATACGCCGTCGGTTAATTTCATGCTTTTATTTTTATTCGGTCGTTGGTTGTTTCACTTCCGCTTGATCTCAAAGGACCTTTTTATGGTTCCTTGTATCGTCGGCAGACTTCATTCAGTCCCTTTGATCCGACCTTTGGTGGTCCTCTCAACTCCTCTTTACCCGAAATGACCCGTTTCTTGGTTCTTTGAAAGTCACCTTAGTTCCGCAGTTTTTTGTGAACTATCTGAGAGCCCTCTCAGATAGTTCACAAAAAACTGCGGAACTAAGGTGACTTTCAAAGAACCAAGAAACGGGTCATTTCGGGTAAAGAGGAGTTGAGAGGACCACCAAAGGTCGGATCAAAGGGACTGAATGAAGTCTGCCGACGATACAAGGAACCATAAAAAGGTCCTTTGAGATCAAGCGGAAGTGAAACAACCAACGACCGAATAAAAATAAAAGCATGAAATTAACCGACGGCGTATGCTTGTTTGTTGCCTTGTCGGCGCTTTGAACACACGTGCTTCCAAAGATCTGCGGTGGGCTTATGAGTTCTAGTATGTAGGTCACGATGATTTAATTAAAAGATGAGAGGTACTTGGCCATGTGATAATGACACTACGGTTTGACGTCCAGTAGCAAAGTTAGTTCCCTTGGGTTCTTGTGTGTTTTTGCTTCCTTTGATGAGACATTACATTGCTGATGTACCATAGTATGTGTAACGGTTACGTAGTACATTAACGACAGCCTCAGGTCATCTAAGGTCATGTCAAAATGACTTCACACGATCAAAGGCTGAAAGATGTTCTTGGTTGCAACGGCTGTTCATGCTCACCCACGATGTTTTCAGTCTGTAGCTTGCTGATAAGTTGCGTTTTTGTCATACTCGCAACACGTCAATTCAATCTACAGGGATTCAACTTCATGCTTCGCAACTCACAACGTATTGATTACGCACTGTATGCATCATATAGGGAATGCGTGTTACGAATTGCTCGCATAGAATAGCGCACACTCAAAAGTGTGGAATCTTTTCCACTGAGGCCGAGGTCAAAGTTGACCGACCGGCCCTGTACTGCATTAAAGGCAAGCACCAATGCATGCGTAAGGTTGTCCGACCGACCCGACGCTGCGTTAGAGGCAAGCACCAATGCATGTGTAAGGTTGACAGACCGACCCGACACTGTGTTAGAGGCAAGCACCAATGCATGTGTAACGTTGTCTGATATCGTTTCCAGGCACTATGAACATATCTCTTTACCTCTCATATTCCAATCAGTGCACAAGTTAGGTGGCGAGAGTATTTGAATCTTAAGGACAAAGCCATGCTCTCCAGTGCTTTTGACATGACAAACTGTGATGGCCTTGAGTATATCAAGCTAGGATGTCTATCTTTTACAGCCCTACCAATGCCATGTTTCAGATGCGGGAATGCAGATGAAGCTGGTCTATGACAACCTGATTGATCTCATCTGGACTGAGGACAGGCCGCCGCGCCCTGCAGACCCCATCGTCATTCAGAACCTAACATACGCGGGTACGAACACCCACCATTACCATACACAACTTGCCGTGCGCACGTGCGCCCGCCGGCGGCTATACCAAACAGCCCGGCATATGCAAGCGAGGTCTTACACACACACACACACCACCCGTGCTCAGGCGGATTTTTCCTACAAAAGCAAAGCAAAACACGGATGTTGTACGGTGTTCGCTGCCACAGCCAGTAATCCCCAAAACGTGCTCAGTGTGTCTCGAAGCTTTTTGAAAACAGGCACTCTCGGAGCTGCCTTCCAAGTCACATCATCAAACCCCAGCATGTTCGCGATTTATATTAGAGCTGACCATTGGGTTTCGCCTGGGCGTTCAAATATTCGGATTACTTTAGAGAAACAGGCACATGATCTTACCATCCGTCAGTCCATGTTGTTTTGCTCATGTGAAGATTATGCAGTATAATGGTGTCCTAGATGTTACGCTCCATTGGTGAAATTTTTGCAATGTTGTGTGTAGAAAATAAGGCATGCATCCCAGACCATTAGCAGCATGCAAGCGGTTGGAAGTGTTCAATTTTCATAATGAAGTTCGTCTATGTTTGGGGCGGGCATATTCTCTCATTGCGGCCACGTTAGTCACCTGTCAGAAGTGACTAGATGTAGAATAGTTTGCGTTTAAGGTGACACCTAATCAGCCAGAAAACAATCGTTTCGACGGGATCTAGATCTTATCTGCCGGTGCCCGACGCACGTTTTGAAATTCATGACCAGGGAGTCTATGTTAAAAATGATGGAAATCGCTATGTCAGGTGGAAAATCAGATTCTTGAGAACGAAACGAAGTAAACTGGCACTACGACTCGAATCAAACACGCTTAGACGGATAAAAGTTAGCCACGTGCATGGCCAAATTTTTACTTTAAAAGTGGTGCGTCCGCTTTTCAAAAAGCTGCTTGTGTTGGCCGTCGAAGGTGGCGGACACTCTGAACAATCAGAGGCCATGTTTGCTCGTGTAAAAAGGCGATATGGTTCTGCACATGGTCGCCTGTGCCGAGACATGCGCTTAGTGTATCTGAAACTTTTTTGAAGAAATGGTTATCAGTTATATGATAATTATCAATATAATGACAATCACAGCTGTTATAATTAGCTAAGTGCCAGCCCAACAAACGAGCATTACTTTTTGGGTACCAGTTGGTGCTAGCTGTTTCTAGAGACTTGTGTGCTGCTGTAAGTTTTCGAGCTCTTCTACACACCTGAATGCTCAGCCTCAATGTGGGCGATCCATGAACTGTTGGACCTTTCTTCTTCCTAACGTCGAGCTCCACTACGTTGGCCTTGGTGCGTGTGTGGAGGGGAGGGGGGGGGGGGGGTAATGTAGACCGAGCCTGTTCCACACACTGCGCACACGAGACGGGACATTCCCACCAGCTCTCGATGTCTGCCGCTGCTTCAGGGAAGCCGTGGGAGGAGAAGGTCGCCGAGCTGAGGGACTACATGAAGGAAGAGGATGTGGAGGTGCTGCTGGTTACCGCGCTGGACGAGGTCGCCTGGCTCCTCAACCTCCGCGGAAACGATGTACCTCACACGCCAGGTAACGGGTGGACGGCACGTCTGCGGCGTCCGCCCCGAGACAACAAAGGCCACCCGGCTTCACAAACACTGACAAGCGCATCTTCTCACAGCGAAAGAGATGCATCAACGAGTGAACGGAAGAACGTAACCACTGAAGCTACATCCGATGAATGGTTCGCCTGCGCTAGTTCTGCTTCAATCGGACTGTGAACGCTATTGCTATTTTCAAAGACATTAATTCGCGTTGTTTGCACGGCCCGGGTTCGAGTTACAGTCGCCATTTTTTTAGCACATTGACCCACGAAACGCGGTTTTAAAGAGCCCGCGGGTCTTCTGGCATGTTTGGCCGTCCAGGATGCCCGGTCTCCGGTGGGTCGATCGAGCTGAAATCTTACTGCAATGTAGAAAAGTATGTTTACAGAGTGCAAACACACAGAATAACATAAGGAACTGATGCAAATAATTTCGTTATTTCCGCAGTATTCAGGGGCTACGCCGCAATTGACCACGACAGCGTCCACCTCTGGGTCGAGCTGGCCAAGGTCACTGATGACGTCAGACTCCACCTCAAGGCCCTGGACTGTGCGGATGGTGACCTCTGCGTGCAGTGAGTACGCGGCGCCGGTAGGAAAAACAGGGGCCCGAGGTGGTCCGGTATGGAGCGAGAGCGGACCAGGAGGCGGACTCGATCACGTGATGGGTTGGTTCGACGCAAATGCAGGGTTGGTCAGTTATTTATCTGGAGCTCTTCGGGCATCGATCTCAAGTTTAGTTTTTTACTCCTTTGATCTGATGGTCATCCGACATAGATCCCAAAATGGGACATAAGTTGTTCACATAGAGGCATACCCTGTGATTTGGTGGCTCTAGCTGTCTTGATCTTTTAGATATGAGTCGTTGATTGACCCCCACCCCCACCCCTTACCCCAACCGCACCCGAGCACGGAACATTTAACCGGCCCACCGAGCGCGAGGTAAGATACAAATTAAGGGCAGTGTGCTAACCCGTCTACCGACTGCCATCGCATCTATACCAAACTGTGGCACTGGCCATTGCGATTCCGCTATATTGGCTTGGCATACTAGGATTCTATTGGTTTTGCTCACCTAACAATTCAACATATTTACCTTCCTTAGATACTCGAAGGACTATAAGACCATCACACCGCACATACCGCACCATCTTTGTGCGCTTACATCAATTTCTCAAACCGCTGCTAAACCACCACCCGCCGCAGCAGGGCATGTCACCTGCTGCTACGGAGGGCATGTTACTTGTCATTGGTACTTAACTTGATTGCTGGTATCTGGTTGCGACATCTTTCTTGGTGGTGGTCGGACTGCCCATGACGGTGCTTGACCCCTATTCCAGACTGCATAGGTACGACGAGGTGCTGTACAATTTTGGCTCGTACATACGCCAGAAATGGAAGGGGAAGATCCTCCTCCCAGCCCGCTCCACCTATATTGATGGGGTCAGCTTCTCTTTCTACAACCAGGTTGGCAATCCGTGTTCTACTACATTTGTTTTTGTTCGTAGTCGTACCTCGATCAAGCAAGCTGGCATGGTCTGTTGCGCGGCAATATAATACTTAAGCGCAGTGGCACTGGAAAAGGATGGAAACTGCAATGACATGAGCCGCTTAGCTTAAAGCAATATGGCCAGATGCCATCATTCTGGCATGCAAGTTCGAAGGGACTGTGGCTCGCACGTGATTCATCCAAAGGCTTGACGGTCTAACTGCTGTAAAGCTCCATGAACGATTAACTTGACTCCTATTACATGGTCCTTTGGACTCCTAATAACTTTATCTGAGGCCGGATCTTTGAATTTTCTTGATTGCTAGTTTATTCCCTGAGAAACCTTACAACTAACCCGACACGCGGTTGTTTTGTCGCCAGGTTCCCTCCGCCAGACGTGTATTCGTCGAATCACCAATTGTGAGGATGAAGGGCCGAAAGAACCCAGTGGAAATCGAAGGGATGAAAGCCGCAAACAAGAGGGATAGCGTAGCACTCTGCCAATTTCTGGCTTTTCTAGAAAAAGAGGTGAGAACAGTTGGCAATGTTCTCGGGAGAAATGTAATGAAACATTCACGAAGCCGTGATACTGAGATGTGTGCGCACTATACATCAAATGATTAATGGTAAGCTCGACTCGATCCGATCCGGTGCGGTCCGGTCCTGGTCGTGCTGTGCCGTGCCGTGCCGTGCCGTGCTGTGCCGTGCCGTGCCGTACCGTGCCGTGCTATGTTTTGGCTAGTGCCGTGTCATGCCGTGTCTCGTCTAGTGCCGTGTCGTGCCGTGTCTCGGCTAGTGCCGTGTCGTGCTGTGTCGTGCCGTGTCTCGGCTAGTGCCGTGTCGTGCCGTGTATCGGCTAGTGCCGTGCCGTGTCGTGCCGTGCCGTGTCTCGGCTAGTGCACTGCTGTCCTCTCCGGACTGATTGGGCTTGGTCTGGTCTTGTCCTTTCTTTTCCGCCTCCAAGGACCGCTCAGGTCAGTTTCGACGATGTCAGCCCGGGTCAGTTTCGATGATGTCAGCTCAGGTCAGTTTCGGTGATGTCAGCTCAGGTCAGTTTCGGTGATGTCAGCCCGGGTCAGTTTCGACGATGTCAGCTCAGGTCAGGCCAGATCAGATCGTATCGCACTAGGTCAGCTGCCAAGTCAATCTTTATGTAATAGGGTTAGTTGATACTGTAAGCGTTTGTATATTTTTGCACGCTTTTATTCATTATCACTTTTCGCTATTTTTGGGTCACTGCTTTTATCTCTCTCGCAAAAGGTGCGTAATAGCCACGTCCTCGTGTGTGAAGTGTCAGCTGATATCAAACGACGAAAATAAGAAGAAGAATTTTTGGGTTCATGTTACGTGAGGCCTGACCCTGTCATGTCTTGTGGTCGAGTTCTGTCCCGACTCTCTCCATTTCTGGTACGGACACGTTCAGCTGAGCCCGGATTGTTCTGGGATGCTACGATGCCGTTCAGAACTACCCTGCCCTGTTCAGCGCGGTGGTGCGGTGCGGTGCGGTGCGGTGCGGTGCGGTGCGGTGCAGTGCAGTATAGTGCAGTGCAGTGCAGTGCAGTGCAGTACAGTACATTGCAGTGCAGTGCAGTGCAGTGCAGTGCAGTGCGGTGTGGTGCGGTTTCGTCATGCCTAAGATGTACCTAATCTAACCTGCACTGGCGGGCTGCATCTGGACCGGCTGGTCCGGTCTGGTCTGCCCAGATGACAATGCAAAACTGTCGTCCTGACCTAAAGAGGACATTACCTGTCCGGTCCTATATGTCTTTCCTCTGTTGATTGTACCATTCATATATTCTGCTATATTTAGACTATTCTGCGTTGATCCTTCCCCCTGGCTACCTCGATCACTTATACGTTAAGTATGTCACCTTTTTCATTTGACTTTAAGCCGTGTTAAATTTTGCCTTTGTTGACATATTGTATTGATTCTTTTTCCGTTTTGGTTTTGATACCTATTGGCTTGAACTTTTTGTGACTTTTTCTGCTTCGATTTCGTCTTTAAATTTGCATTCGGCCCGCAACCCTCTTTCCACCCACACAGGCCCAACGCGAAAAGGTGTAAGTTGAGTCAACAGCGGAATTTAAGCAACAATGTGGGGAAGGCAGATAGGATGTTTGCGTCTGTTCCAAACATATAACGCGATATAGGAAGCCGCATGTCTAATGACCAGGTCCGCACCAAAACATTCCGTCCACGATATGGGCTGTCCACGCTCAGCACGTTGAGCTCACCACGGCCTGCTTCCACCCCGCAGATCCAGTCGGGGAAAGAATGGGACGAGCTCTCGGCCGCCGATAAACTGCTGCAGTTCCGCGCGGAGCAGGACCTGTTCATGGGGACCAGCTTCGAGACGATCTCTGCGTTCGGCAGTAACGCGGCCATCATCCACTACACGCCCGACAACACCACCAAACGAGCGATCGACACCTCGTCCACATACCTGCTGGACTCGGGAGGTGGGCACCCGCGCACCGACTGCGCCCGCTCACCGGCTGTATCCGCTCACCGGCTACACCCGCTCACCGGCTGTACTCGCGCACCGACTGTACCCGCTCACTGACTGTGCCCGCTAACCGGCTGTACCCGCTCACTGACTGTGCCCGCTCACCGGCTGTGCCCGCCCACCGACTGTGCCCGCTCACCGGATGTACTCGATCACTGACTGTGCCCGCTCACCGACTGTACCCGCTCACCAAATGTGCCCTCTCACCGACTGTGCCCGCCTACCAACTGTACCCGCTCACCGACTGTACCCGCTCATCAAATATGCCCGTTCACCGGCTGCCGACCGGCCTGACTGGCGCGACCCGCTGGCGGCAGCCGTCCACGCATGCCGCTGTTTGGCTATTAGTGCCGCAACAGCAGCAGCCCACACATGCGCTACAGCATGCCGCTGTTTGGCTATTGGTACCATAAATCTGCTCCCGGCTGGAGTCGTGGACAGAACGAGCAAGAAGCACGCGGCACGAGGGAATCGAATACGAGACATTCCGATCTTTTGTGAGATGGCGCGTGAGCTGAACAGCAGCGCTGCTGCTAAAACAGTGCCTTCAGCAGGCCCATCGCTAGGCTGCCGTTGTGTTTGAAGATCACGTTTTTATGAGTGATGCAAGTATGGCGAGATCACACTTGAATTTTCCGCTAATGAGCGATGGTCATTGAGGTAGGGACTCCAATATATCCTCCGTTGACTTCAACTTAAATGTCACTACCTTGTACCCGATGTCGCTGCAGCTACCTACCAGCAATGAATAAAGACGAAGCCCTCATGCGGGCAGTTTTCAGAAGAGCTTTTTTAAACCCCTACTGTTTTACTACATATCATATGGGGCATTACTGAGGATGGTAAGACCGTCGGAGGCATGAAGATTGCCATTTGTCTAGTAGGTTTGCGTCGTCCATAGGCAACCATTGACAAGGAATCCAACATGATGTATGATGACATTTGACATGTGCACGAAGTTTTTCTGGCTGGGGGTATTGCATTTGCATATTCGTGTAAAAGATGCACTATCTTGAGGATATTGTCGGCCGGATCGCGAGGAGGGTTTGGGCCCTCACACTAGGACGCAACCTAGATTTCCGGGTGCTGGTCCAGTGTGATATTCTTGCACTATGGGTCCCAGAGATTTTGCCAACTTTTGAACGGCTTGTGCATTATTTGTAAAGTCGAGTGGTGAGTGGTGATCACGTAGAGGTGTTCTTTTTTAGACAAAACAGGATGCCTATATATGGCTGGTTTCACTAAGCTGCTTCAGTTTTGGTGGGTCAGATTTGCCGGGACGCTTCGCAGTGTGACAATATTGTTCGCCAGATAGGGCAGAAAGCTTGGGCTGATCCACAGAATGGTGGATTATGTTTATCTCACGCACTTGTACTGTGCATTACCATGCATTCTGTGTTACAAAACGCGGTGTTTGTGTGTGAATCGGTCGTTACGCATAACTCAGGTCAGTACTTGTACGTGTACTCCGCCTGCCGTTCACTCCAGCTGCTTGTCGGGTCCGTGTCAGCGCACCAGGTCGTTAATCTGCTCCGCCTGGCCTGCGTCACAGGTCAGTACCTGGATGGCACCACGGACGTGACGCGAACCGTACATTACGGTCGGCCCACCGAGTTCCAGATGGAGGCCTACACGCGGGTCCTAATGGGCGCCATTGACCTGGCCGACCTGGTCATCAACAGCCAGGTCAAGGACGTTCAGGTTAGTGAGACGTGGCCGAACGTGCCTAGCGATCATGGTGCCGCCGATAAAGTGGTCTTAACAAACGCTATCCCACGAAAGGAATGCATATGAATGCACTGAATTCGAATGTCAGCCAATAATGGATGCTACACTCATCTTTAGCGGTCACCGCAGGACGTGGTAGAATGCTGAAAGAAGCACGCCACCACCAGGTGGTGTTGCGCAGCCTACCTGGTAACCTATGGTAACCTAATGGCCTAATGGTAACCTAATAAACTAATGGTAAACTAATGGTAGCCTAATGGCCTAAAAGGTGCATATGAATGATGGAGAAACCATGTGTGGTAGGAATATAAAGCCAGCAAGCTACACTTTCGCAGCGGACGCCACAAAAAGTGAGGACAACTGATCGCACTGGGCCAGTGATCTTTGACGATTTCAAGATACCATTTGGCACTTGTTTGTTGGAAAGCAGCGCTACACGGAAAAGTAACGCTAGTTAGGAATGACCACACCCAAACGCTGCACTTTAAAAAGGTCACCTGTTTTGTTACTATATGTCATAGCTTTAGTTGTCCTGGCTGGTTACCTGAACTGGCCATTTCCGACATGAACGCTACGAAATTCAGTTGCATGAAAATTGTTATGACATGCTTGTTTTTTATAGTCGGGCGCGACCGGTTCTTCAGCAGTATTGGTAACTCTTCCGGAGTGGGGTGCAGTTCCTCGCTAGTGGGAGTGCTTGCGGCACCTACAGCCTTACAGTATGATCAACTTGGACTATTTTTCGTCGTGTATCATGTAACAAAGTATGCCCGCAGTTGGCATGCAACACATGGCATGGAGCGGAAGATGTATGCATGTGAAAAGTTGTTTTCATCTAACCCAAATCACAGCCGATAGTTCTAGTGACGTGTAGGGTGGAGAGCAAGCATGGACCAGGAATGTTTGTATTTTGACAGAAAATGTTCGTTATAACATATTCGTGCATTTTTGTGATCATCCGGTAATGACTTAGCAGCAAGCACTTCCGCGCAGTTCAGCTGATATGACCGTGACCATCTGTCGTCTGTCGCCTGACCGTGATCGTCTGTCGTCTAACCGTAACCGTCTGTCGTCTAACCGTGATCGTCTATCGTCTAACCGCAACCGTCTGTCGTCTGTCGTCTGACCGTGACCATCTGTCGTCTGACCGTGATCGTCTGTCGTCTAACCGCAACCGTCTGTCGTCTGTCGTCTGACCGTGACCATCTGTCGTCTGTCGTCTGACCGTGAACGTCTGTCGTCTGTCGTCTTACCGTGATCGTCCGTCGTCTGTCGTCTGACCGTGAACGTCTGTCGTCTAACCGTGACCGTCTGTCGTCTGTCGTCTGGCCGTGACCATCTGTCGTCTGTCGTCCAACCGCAACCGTCTGTCGTCTAACCGTGATCGTCCGTCGTCTGTCGTCTGACCGTGACCGTCTGTCGTCTGACCGTGACCGTCTGTCGTCTGTCGTCTGGCCGTGACCGTCTGTCGTCTAACCGCAACCGTCTGTCGTCTAACCGTGATCGTCCGTCGTCTGTCGTCTGACCGTGAACGTCTGTCGTCTAACCGTGACCGTCTGTCGTCTGTCGTCTGACCGTGAATGTCTGTCGTCTAACCGTGGCCGTCTGTCGTCTGTCGTCTGACCATGACCATCTGTCGTCTGCCGTCTGACTGCGACCGTTTGTCGTCTGACCATGACTGTTTGTCGTCTGACCGTGACCGTCTGTCGTCTGTCGTCTGGCCGTGACCGTCTGTCGTCTGGCCGTGACCGTCTGTCGTCTGACCATGACCGACCGTCGTCTGGGCGTGACCGTCTGTCGTCCGGTCATGACCGCCTGTCGTCCGGTTGTTCCAGATGAGCCTCATGGTTCGACAGCCGCTGTTTAAGGCCGGCCTCAACTATCGACATGGATCGGGACACGGCATCGGGGCCTACCTGACCATCCACGAGGGTCAGTGGCGCAGAGAGTCATCCGCGAGGGTCACTGGCGCACAGAGGGGCCTACCTAGCCATTTGCAAGGGTCAGTGGCGCTCAAGAGGGGCCTTCCTAGCAGTCCACGAGGGTCGGTGGTGCACAGAGGGGCTACCTGGCCATCCACGAGGGTCAGTGGCTCACGGAGGGGCCTACCAAGCCATCTGCGAGGGTCAGTGGTGGCACAGGGGGCCTACCTAGTCATCCACGGGGGCAGGAGGGTCGCTGGGCAGACCAATGGCAGCAGTGCTCGGTGGCCGTGACGCTGAGTCATTCCTCTTTGCGGAGTGCAGGTCCTCCTGGCCGGTTTGGAGAAATTTTGTCAAGACGGTGAGGACAATGTCTAAAGATTTGCCTGCGGACGATACGGCCGTGGGATCGTCATGCTGCGTTCACCCGCCGTGGCGCGATCCTATTCGCGGCTTGCTGGCACGTTTTTCGTTGCCACCAAATTGTTGCCTCTCTCGTCACGAAGCGTTCATTTTAAAGTGCTATTGGAGAAGCTGGCATCCTATTTATTGCGCACTGTTTGAATATATTCAAGATGTGTTTTGGGTCTGGCGGCATTAGATCCGATCTATACATAGCTTGAGTCGCCACTCTTGTGTTCTTTGAATAAAACTGACGTCAAACATGCTGGGATATTCAGGCCAGCGTTCAGACGGAGCCGCCGTAACGCGGTCCCTGGCCGCGGCCTGGGCCGAGTACGCGACGGCCGAAGTACGCAGCTTTGGTGCTCAGAGCGTCCACCAGGTGTCTGCTCAACCCCGTCCTGGTCGTCCTCCCAGGGCAGGGCGTGCCTGGGGCTTTACGACGTATTCAGCTGCTGAGGCTCTATGGTAGCGCCTGCCTCACGCCCTGGCGGGAAAGACTGGCACCGCAGGGAACTGTTCCACACACGTCTGGTTTCCCAGACGCGGAACTTGCCGCTACACTAACGGTACCACGTGGTCACAGCCAGGCTCACAGGGCACTAGGGCCGCAAGTCATGTGGCAGGTGCGCCTGGCGTGATATATGCGTGCGTGCGTGCGTGCGTGCGTGCGTGTGTGCGCGGGTGCGTGCGTGGATAACACACAGTCGGCACCGAGAAGGGCCACAGTACGGTCGTAATTAACAGTTTCACGTGCGCGTTGTCTCAGCCGAATGAAACACACAACAAGGACGGCTCTTTTATGCGACATTGCCGCTGAAATATGGCCGATGACTGCGAGTGTGTTGTGTTTCAGGACCTATTCTCATCTCACCTGGAGGAACTGGTCACCTGATGGAGAAAGGCCAGTTTTTCTCGGACGGTACGACTCAAAACCTTTTGACTTTTTACTACACGGCGGTCCTCGCCACCTAGATTGAATATCAAGTCACTATTCGATATGTACTCAAATCGCGATATTTTCGGGACGAACAGGCGCTGAATGACAGCCGTCCTCCAGTGTTCGTGGCAGACGTTAGCGCCGAAATGCCGTGCATCCAGTCCTCTGCAGAGCCTACACGCCCGAACTATGGAGCCCAACTGAAAGGTCATGCGGGCCGGGGTGACATAGCTGACTTGGAAGGGTATCGAACTAGTACTTGGAAGGCCTGTCTATGGTTTCCGGCTGCTGCTATCCCAGTAGCTGACCCTCAATGGGAAGGTGGTGCGGCGATGTGTTGTCCCACGCCCCCCTGAGAAACTCAGGCGGTTGGCTGGTTATTGCCCGCTCGCGCCGGAAAAAAATAGGCATAGTATGCTAACCCCGATAGTAAGCAACAGCAACGGTGCCTGGTGTGGTGACCATCTGTGGGTGGTGGCACCAGCACCAGTGTTGTCCCACTAGTGACGAGGCTGCTGAGTGGAACGCTCGGCAGCGGCTGCTCTGGGTGGTCGCCCTACTGGAGTGGAACGCTCGGAGCTGGAGTGGGCGCTCGGCAGGCGGCTGCTCTGGGTGGTCGCCTGAATGGAGTGGACGCTCGGTCGCTGGAGTGGACGCTCGGCAGGCGGCTGCTCTGGGTGGACGCTCGGAGCTGGAGTGGACGCTCGGTCGCTGGAGTGGACGCTCGGCAGGCGGCTGCTCTGGGTGGTCGCCTGACTGGAGTGGACGCTCGGTCGCTGGAGTGGACGCTCGGCAGGCGGCTGCTCTGGGTGGTCTCCCGACTGGAGTGGACGCTCGGAGCTGGAGTGGTCGCCCGACTGGAGTGGACGCTCGGAGCTGGAGTGGACGCTCGGTCGCTGGAGTAGACGCTCGGCAGGCGGCTGCTCTGGGTGGTCGCCCGACTGGAGTGGACGCTCGGAGCTGGAGTGGTCGCCTGACTGGAGTGGACGCTCGGAGCTGGAGTGGACGCTCGGTCGCTGGACTGGAGTGCGCCTGACGGCTGACTGGTGTTTCTCAGAGCCGGGCTACTACCAGGACGGAGAGTTCGGCATACGGCTCGAGACGATCCTGTTTGTTCAGGAGCTGGACACCGAGGTGGGTACGGCGGCACAGCTGGTGCTGGCGGCTGACGCCCCACCCGGCCATCCCATCCACTCTGACATCCGGCTGTTGAAGTTGTACGTGCCGAGCGGCATGAGCTCTGACGCAGGTGCAACGGCTCAGAGGGAGCGGGGGCGGGCACCAACCCCGGCATTATTAATACTTGTCAGCGTGTCTTTTGAAGGACGCTCTTGTTTCCATGAGACAAGAAGCTCAAACGTGGCTAATGATCGGCAACGGACAACGTGTTGGTGGATGCAATCACAGCAGCACAGAGACAGGAAGCTTGAAAAATCGGGCATGATCAATACTAATCAAAGCGCGTTTATTGACACACGCAACCCTGTAGCATGTATCGTGTATAGCGTGACTGCCTATGAACTGGCGTGCACGTAGCCCTGCACGGCCGTGACTGCCTGTGCACTGCACTGCACTGCACTGCACTGCACTGCACTGCACGCCGAGTGCGCAGCGCACAGCGATTGCTTCCACATGTCCCAGTGCGCCCAGCGGTGACGTGTGCGTGTACGCACTTCGCAAAGCAAGAAAGAGGATAAAAGAATTGCGTGCCATTGTGCCGGCCAATCTTTCAGGTACAATGGCCTTCTGCTAACCGAAATAAACTTTTTTATATGCCCACAATGTGCCAGCAGAAAGTCGTTTGCTACGGTGATGTAGACATCAAAGCGAAACGTAAAAGTGTTTACCGCAACGTGTGGCTTTCGTTTCAGCACAATTTTGACGGTCCATACATGCATTTCGAGCCGGTTACCTTGGTGCCGTTCGAGAGGAACCTCATCATCCCCGAGATGATGTCACGGAGGCAGGTGAGGTGGAATCATGCGTGAGGTGGTGACACAGGGAAGTGACACTCATTTGTCAGAAACACGCTGCCTTCCGTTTCTGACACGCATATCTTTCGTTGTCATTTGCGGACGAGCGATGTCGCCTGAAGATTTTGCATGGAACAATTCAGTGTGTTACTCGAAATGTAGAGCCGCACGGTTTTCCGGATTAAATTTCGGAGCCTGCGAGTATCGACTACGTGTCGCACCACAAGTCGGATCTTTCTTCGAATAGTTCGTGTAGTCGAATCTTTCTGACGGCGCACGGGTAGAATACCACTGCGATGGTATTCAGGTAAGGTCAGGGTGGTGTAGGCGGACGCAAGGCTGGTTTGCAATTGCTGTCTGTCATGCCCCGTCGTAGGCGTAACGTTACGTCCCCTGACATTGGTGCTGGGCTCTGCCTATCGCTGAGCTTTGTCTGCCGCGTCCATGTACCCAGCGACGGCTGCCAACGCCCTGCTCTTCCCGCAGCTGGTCTGGCTCAACGAGTACCACCGCCGAGTGCAACTGGAGGTGGGCCCTGTCCTCAAACGGCAGAAACGAGAGCGTGCTCTCAAGTGGCTCGAGGCGCGAACGGCCCCTATACGGCCGGCGAAAATAGCGCCTTCTGTTGGGTTCACCATCAGCTCAGCCGGGCTGCCGGTGAAGTGCAGCACGGTCATGCTGGTCTGGTTGACCTCAGCTGCAATCAGTGTTGCCAGGATCATGTGAGTCAGACTGGTGTTTAAATGCGGGAGTGATGTACAAATGGCTGCGTTGTCGATAGTGTCGATTCATACAACTGCTGTATTCCTGGTTGCTGGAATGCCCTGCTTTTGTGAGCTCGATTTATGCAAGAGGTGCTGAAAACATCGGGCACTGACATGCTACTCAACTTGCCTTTGTCGTGTCAGAGGAAGCCCAACTGACATTTTCGCCATCTTGCAGTGTCAGGGTCAGTTATTTGTCCAAACACAACCTTCCCGTGTTGTTAGACGAATCGCGAAGTGTAGCGGAATACAAAATCCAACTGACATGTTTGGTGAGAAAAACTTAAAAAGCGTACGTGCTCGGATGCATATGATTTCACATGTACGGTGCCATCGTACTCCATGCTTCAGTTCAATGTCAGATGTGCTGTTCAAAAGAAGTGTCGGGTCAAGGAGCCTTAAGTGCTGTGAATTCAGTAATCCTGGTTTACATTGATTGCACCAACGAGAGCGTCCCCTTGAGCAATGCCAAATATACCAATACTCGACTTACTGCACCCATGACCGCACCACCGGACAGTGATCACAATGTAGACGCGAGCACGTCTGTGCAAGCAGGACGGCACAAATGGCTGTGGTACAGCCGTCTTCCCATACTTGAAACTACTAGCGACCTTTGGCCTTGCATGAAGGGAAATCAAGAAAAATTCTGAGCCTCCCGTTCCATATTCTCAGGGAGTTCTCCGTCGCCACCGTTTTGGTTTCGACGACACTGCCTTCAGAGACAGGCTTCTAAATGGAACTGACGTTATCTGTCAATTGTGTCATTGTGCAAAGCTGGCAACCTGGGCGCACATAGAGCTTAATCATCTATCGTGTATATTGGGAGAAAACCACCTCATTATGCGGGAAAGGGCTGTCGGTGAGGAAAGGAGTCGTTTTAAGGAAATTCATAAATGCTGCTCATCTCTTGAATTTCTGATTGCTGTCTTCGTACACTGCGCCATCCCGGATGTGCAGCCATGGCTGTGCTCTTACCCTGCAGCGCCGAGACACGGTCTCCCCTGTCCCCGCGAGCGGAACTCGGGAACTAGACTGCCAGAGCGAGACTGTTAATTGGCCGGCACGCCGGTTAATTAGCTGTGAAGTTTGGAAGTACGTACGACTGTGATAAGCGCTAAGTCCGTTGCCATTTTCTCCCGGTCCCGCACAGATTCTAATTCGAAAAGCGCCCGTGAAGGCCGGTGGCGAGTTCGCAGAGATCCGCTGCTTCGCTTGTCTGGCTACCGAGCCGCGATTTTATCACGATCCAAAGTGACGCGCTCCCAGCAGTTGTTGCGCCAGCTTGATAGCGTGAAGATCTCGTTCATGATCCGACATATCGCATCTATCAAAAAGGAGCAGAAGCGTTGTGGGGTCATTTATGCATCAACTTAAAAACTTTTCTCTACTCGCTTGGCTGTCGGCGAGCAGATCGCAAAAGAACAGCGGACCACGCTACACAGGAGCAGTTGTTTCCGTTCGAGACGAGAGCTGTGTAGCACAGGCATGCCGCGGTTGGGCATTGGCAACGGTCGCTGACCCTAACATTCACGCGGTTGGCCATTAATTACCATGGCATGCAATAAATTCCCGAGATGGACGGTCATAAGCTGGTGTTACTGGGGCTTGTCTGGTTAACTGACCATGCAAACGGTCGGGATCGAGTTTCAATTCGGGTGTGAATGGCTTCGCCCGACAGAGAACCTCGGCACGGATGGATTAATCTGGTGCCCGTCTTCCGTGAGCTTTTGAGACCATGAGGCTTTCCGCAGTGAAGTTTGGAAGTACGTACGACTGTGATAAGCGTTAAATCCATTGCCATTTTCTCCTGGTCCCGCACAGATTCTAATGCGAAAAGCGCCCGGGAAGGCTGGTGGCGAGTTAGCAGACAGTCGCTGCTTCGCTTGTCTTGCTGCCGAACCAAGGCTTTGCTGTCGTGCTGAACACTTCCTTCGGCGACGATAGAAAACAGGGCTGTAGTTTACCTGGTAACGGACATCAGCCGACTACCCCAGCCGCTGTGCGCAGCTACACTTTCGGTTGAGGTCAGCAAGACCTCAGGATTCGTGTTGTAAACCGGCTGGCCACGGCTGAGTGGTCGGCACACATCTGCGTTGGTTGCGTTAATCCAGTCAGAAGCGCCCATATCGTCAGCTGAAGACGCCGACCCGGAACTGGCAGACCGGGAGACACGTCCACAGGACCGTCCCGGAACTGGCAGACTGGGAAACACGTCCACAGGACCGACCCGGAACTGGCAGACCGGGAGACACGTCAGCAGGACCGATCCGGAACTGGCAGACCGGGAAACACGTCCGCAGGAACGACTCGGAACTGGCAGACCGGGAAACACGTCCGCAGGACCGACCCGGAACTGGCAGACCGGGAGACACGTCCGCAGAAGAGGGATGGCTCACGAAGATCAAAATGTCGATTTAAGGACACACGCTATGTTATGTCATCTCCACGTACCAGCTCTGTACAGACGAAACCAACGGACAGCGGAAGCCTAGCAACTAAACAATCGCTAATTGATAGATCAAACGCTCATACTCATATCACTATCCACCATAAACACTTCGCAAATAACTAAAAACTCACACGCAGTTCACACCAACGCAATCTATGAGTACCACACGAAACCGTGATTGTTTTCGCCACCTGGCGTTGACCACCTCGTTGCAGTGTTCACATCGTGCCGCTCCACCGCGGTGGTACTTTCATATTCACACATCTTGTTATCTTGTTACCCATGGATGTCCCTGATAAAAAAGAACAGTCGTGTGCAGCGCTGGAATTATGGACTGAAGTGTCGGAGGTTGAGGATGTCCTGTCCGTTGGCAGGACTCTGTTACCGTGGTCAGCATTCGTGGTCGCGTCGTAACAAAACCACGAAGTATGCCTGCATGCTGCTTAAAACCGGCCATCTAGTTTATGAAATAGCTGCTGTTATTCATAGTGCTAGTAGGCACCTCATTTGGTGATGAGCACCGGGACGTCCACCGGTCTTTGTCCGGCGCTACTGACCACTTAATTGCCAATCCCTAGGCGCAAGCGGCTGCTCATCCCACAACCACAGTGTGACCCGTACATCCGTACATCATATATCTGTCGGCTGATTGTTGGGTCTTTATCCTGGATATAAACCGCTTCCAGCACTTCTAGTTTCGCTTTTTGAGCAAACCATATATATATATATATATATATATATATATATATATATATATATATATATATATATATATATATGTGTGTGTGTGTGTGTGTGTGTGTGTGTGTGTGTGTGTGTGTGTGTGTGTGTGTGTGTGTGTGTGTGTGTGTGTGTGTGTGTGTGTGTGTGTGTGTGTGTGTGTGTGTGTGTGTGTGTGTGTGTGTGTGTGTGTGTGTGTGTGTGTGTGTGTGTGTGTGTGTGTGTGTGTGTGTGTGTGTGTGTGTGTGTGTGTGTGTGTGTGTGTGTGTGTGTGTGTGTGTGTGTGTGTGTGTGTGTGTGTGTGTGTGTGTGTGTGTGTGTGTGTGTGTGTGTGTGTGTGTGTGTGTGTGTGTGTGTGTGTGTGTGTGTGTGTGTGTGTTTATTGTCAGTGCGATGCTATTTTTCACCCATTCCGTTAGAGCAAATTCCATGGCCTCACGTCACGTGCCGCTTTGGCACACCGTCTTAAAAACATGCAATAAGTTGGCGATTTGACGGATAGAGACCATTCCGGTGTTCGCTCATATACCTGGTACCCAATAGTAATTTATATGATAGCAGCCATTTCATCAAGCCGAACAACGACGTGTGAACAACATGCGTGTTGAGATTAAATTTTGATCCTACCCCACCATGAATGTTGTGTATGCTGTTACTACATATCAATATTTTATGTTGTGTGATGGCGTGGACAGAAACAATAAAACGCTACAAGAATACACTCATCCTTCTCAACACTTCTCCGATGGTGGTAAACAAATATTTTGAAGAATTTTGAAGAAGAAAAAGAAAGAAGAAAAGTCGCTATCTAAGGGGCAAAAAATATCAGCTATGAAACATTTTGTCTCTGAAACATGCATCAATAGAAACCATATCAATGCGTGTTTGAATACTGATGGTACCTTAAGCCTTAATTGCCCTGGATATAGCAAATGTGGATATATATATATATATATATATATATATATATATATATATATATATATATATGCATACTGTAGTATACTGTGCAAAGTTTACGTTCCATTGGTAGACATGTCATATTTTACGTGGGTGTTTAAAACACGAGCAAAATACATAATGTGCCACTATTCTTTTTTAGAAATCGCATTGCACGTTATCTCAACAACCTTTACGGATTTATGGATCGTCAGCAACTGCAGTGGCCATCTTAACGCCCAGGGCTATGTGTAAGCCGCGCTTGGAACCCGAGCCTCCACTTGGGAGCCGAAGCCCTAACCAGTCGGCCATTAGGCCCCTCCCTCCCCCATGTCTGCTGCTTGCTTTGATTAATAGTGATACTTTAGTCCTAAATGGCCCCGGATATGACCAGTGGCAGAGTGTTTCTCTGAATGAGCGTGGGATTTTGAACGACGGATAAGGCTGTGACTGACATTTTGTCAGGCATGCTGTTTAATGTCGTATGATTCTTACATGTTTTATGCAGGTCGTAGAGAAATACGTCATTAAGGCTTCACAGGTCTTAATCTGTTTTGATTATCTTGGGTACTGACCGTGCTGCTGGCTCGAACACCACGCGGCTTGATTAAGCATCATGATAGTATAAGCTATCTTACAAGTCTGGTTCACTGCTGAACACATTGCGGCAGAGATCATCTGGTGAATAATGCTGAAGGCTTTAGCGTTCTGCGGTTACTCATTCGGGAGCTGTTCTGAACACATCACAGCAAACGACAGACAGCCGTGTTCACGGATAGTAGACACAGTGCTGAACGCGCGGCTTTAAAACACTCCGACAACGACCATGCACTAGCCGTTGTCGGAGACGCGTCAAACGAACCCGGCCAAGCGTGGATTCATTCAAAAATGATTGATAAATTGGCGTTCTAAGAAGTGAATCGTTTGGCAAATGCTGACTAGATCATTGTTCCAGAATTTAATGACAATACGGCCCGTTGCATAAGCTTTGAACGCAGCCATTTTCTCTAGGCGACATATTTGGATCCGCTCATCCGTGGCGTTGTGGTTTCTCGGTCAGATCCAGTATATTAGTGATTGAGTTACCGTCACCTTTTTCCCCCAGGTCTGCCTACCTCGTCGAGGCCCGCTTATCTCACTCAGGTCCACTTACCTCACTCATGTTTGCTTATCTCACTCAGGTCTGCTCTTACTCAGGTCCTCTAATCTCACTCAGGTCTGATAATTTCACTCGAGTCTGCTTATCTCACTCAGGTCTGCTTACCGCACGCAGGCCTGCTTATCTCTCGTAGGTCTGCTTACCTCACTCAGGTCTGCTCATCTCACGCAGGTCTGTTCATCACTTTTAGATCTGCTTATCTCATTCAGGTCCGCTTACCTC